AGATTGTTGCCAAGAAAGAAACATCCACATGAAATAATTTTTTTGTCATCAGCATTTCCATCCTAATATGTACCATAATAACCTACTATTATTGTATGTATATCATGAGAGTACAATATGACATAGTCATAAGAGACACTAATATACTTCAAAATTTTCTTCACTTGTGTGAGATGACCAGATTTGGGTTTTGCTTGATATCTAGAACACACACCAACAATAAATATGATATTTGGTCTGCTAGATGTGAGGTATATAAAACTTCCTATAATACTTCTATAGAGACTTTGATATACATCAGTACCATTTTCATCCTTAAACAACTTCAAGTAAGTTGCAACATGAGTTCTCTTATGGCTTGCATTGCCAAGACCAAACTTCTTCACTATGTTCTTAGCATATTTGCTTTGGGATACAAATATGTTGTCTTCCATTTTCTTTACTTGAAGACCAAGAAAGTAAGTGAGTTCACCTACTAGACTCATCTCAAACTCAGACTGCATTTGTTGACCAAAATGCTCCACAATTGTGTCTGACATCCCACCAAATACGGTTTGGGCTATCATAAGCTTTCCTTTGTCATTCTTCACAAATAGAGTTTTATCGATTCCTCCTCTATTGTATCCATTGTTGATCAAGAACTCAGTTAACCTCTATGTGATACGGTGGCAGAACCGATTGTTGATCTGTGATCTCTTCCATTACAATGATAACATGTGTCTCCGGTGGATTTAGCATATGGAGTATTTTGCCTCTAGATTGGTGTTTTACATTGTTGCACACCGTTAGAGATGTTAGTCCCCTTATTCCCAAGGTTAGAATCCTGGGGTGTTGCATTCTTTTCTTTGTCACTTGCTGATTCAAAGTTATTTTGGGGTGAATACCTTCTTAATGATGAGAAATTTCGAGAGGATTTCTTCATCAATTTTGCCTTCAAAACTAAACTTGATGCCTCAGCTACGGTCCATACAGTTTGGAAATCATATTCTCCTACAAGGATCCCTTTGATCCGCTGATGTATTGAGTCACTTTACGACTCTCTGATTCTCCCAGTTCATTGCGCTCTAAAAAACGCGAAAACTCAGTTGTGTTCAGTCACAGTTCTCTTGTCCTAAACATGCTCAATATACATCTTATAAAGAATCTATTCATAATCCTCCGATAAAGACCGCTCTAACATCAATTGTTTCATTCTTCGCCAAGTTTTGGCTGGTCCTTTCCTTTGTCTTTGCCTTTGAACAACAGGTTTACCCTACTAGACAACATTAGTTTAAGCCCGATCACCCCATCTTAACTTGCATGTTCTCAAGGATATCCATAACATCGAAGAACCCGTCGACATCAATCTTCTAATCCAGAAACTTCTCAATTCCTATTGTTCTATAAAACAATGGAATATCAGTCTTCACTCGATAGTCATGGTTGTTCTATTGATTCCCACAATCAAACCTCCTCCTCGAATCTTCAACACGATTGTTTCCACCCTATGGAACCCTAATCGGTTCTTCTCTCATGTCTCTTTGTTGACTCCTGTTGTTATTTGCCTGATTTTCTAAAGTCGTAATTTCTTCAGTCAAAGCAATTAGAGGCCCAATAAAAGCCACGGTAATTCCCTCAAAATCTGCTATGGTCACTAGTTGACCTGCCATGGTTGTCAAACAACAAAAAGAACAGGAGAAAACATGCTCTGATGCTAACTAGCACAGTCGAAAACACACAAAATAGCAAGCATTAAACCTAAAACACAACACAAATTTGCAAGCGACAAACTTGTCAAATAAAACTAGAATCCACCAGAAATAAGAAAACTCTGATTTTATTATAATGAAAGATAATCCTTACTATCACGTCAAATGTCTTTATATATCAAAAATAAAGAAACCACAACGGGCCTTTAATCCAAAACACAATTATATCAGTAAAACAAAATGCGAAAAAGATAAAATGTCAAATTTGGGTTTGAAACAAATACGGATGACTTAAAAACCTCATATATCATGGCAAAGCCATGTGTTGGACTCGTGAGTCAATTTCCGATCAGAAAATGTATAATAATAATTATTGTAACATCAGACATCAAACTTGTACGATTCATGAGGAATTAAGTATACTTAAAATAAACAGAAACAATTAAAGAATGTTAATCTAAATATAAACACTACAATTAACTTTCAGTTCCAAGTTCCAACCCAATCCAATCCAATTACGGCACTGGAAGACAAATCTTGCAAATTGTCTTGTTGTTTCATGAGATGAATGAATAAATACGGAAACAAAAAGCAAGTGAATGAGATATGGTATCATATGATAGTTCCGGATAGAATGATGTTTCTATATATAAATAGCTGGACAGTTCAAAATCAAATCGTGATGGGAATGAACAAAATTGATAAGGTGGTTGAATAGTCATCGCATTGCAGTGATGTAGCACACCATAGGAATAGGATAGAATAGATAGTAGATAACAATAACATAGAGCCCAACAATGAAGAAAAACTAAAAACAAGTATAGTAAAACCAAAGTTACAACAGTATTATGAGATTAGGCCATTCATTGGTAAGTAACATTGAAGTTTGGAGTTTGGAAATGAAAGAGAAAGAGATAACAATAAAAGAGTTTGGCAGAGCAGAAGTACGGATTTGATAGACCAGCTATTTTATAGAGAAAGTGAAAGGGTGTGGTGTGGGACTGGTAGGCTAGAATAATCAACTTTTTACTATTCACTTATAGAAAGTAGAAAATATGAGTAACAGTACAAGAGTTCAGGCTTTTGTTGCTGCTTATGATATTAATATTACAGACAGAAAGAGAGAAGAGAGAGAGAGAGAAAGAGAGAGATGCAATGCATAGCATTGCATAGCAATACTGCAATAGCATAGTGCATGATCTCTGTTTCTCTTTATGTTTTACCTTTCCCTTTTGGCCCCATTGTGTTGCTATATTTATTAGGTTTGGCAATTGCAGGTGTACGAAATCCTATGGCACTGAGAAAAGCCGAGGAATGCGGAATTGCTTTACTACAAGGAAAGGGACAGAATGTACACAACCAGGGCTTCTACACGTGGCCTATACTTGTCTTATAATACGACAAAAACTTCTTCAATTATGTACTTTGTACGCAAAAAATACATTTTTATATTTCTATCGACATGCATACACATTCCGTTTGGTTTGTCTAATAGAGTTTATTTTGTATGTCATGTAACATACTTTTATTTATAATTGTGTATTAATTAATATATATAAATTTTGTTTTAAATGTTTAATTACAGTTTTGTGTCCTATTTTTTCTGATTAAAGAAATTGATCATTCTATTTTAAATTTAAACAGTTTTAATCTCTTATTTTAGATTTAAATTGTTTTGGTTCCTCTCTCATACTTTTACATATAAAATTAATGATGTTTTCACTTTTTAAACGATAAATTATTTATAAAATATGATAAAATATCATATATAAATTTATTATTGAATTTTGTAAATAAAAATATAAATTAAAAATAAAAAAATCATTGATTTTCTATGAAAAATATGAGGGAGACTAAAATTATTTGAATTTAAAATAGAATGATCTAAATTGTTTGCATTTAAAATAGGGGACTAATTTCGTAAATGAGACAAAATAGGGGAATCAAAACTGTAATTTAACATTTTCTAAATAACGACAATATTTATTTATATTTATATATTAATATAAATAATTTTTTCACATTTATAAATTAATAATTTAAAAAAATTAGAGAGAGTATTTTTTATTGGTTAATATTTTTTTAAAATTATTAATTTAAAATTTTCAAGAGTCATTCTTCTTCAATTTTTGTTTTCAATTTCAACTTGTTTATTTTCTCTTTCATCTCTTATGCAAATTATCAAAATTCAAATTTTAGAAAAATATTTTTAAAAAAGTTTTTTACTTATTAATGAAACAAATAAAGATTGAGAAAAAAAGAAAACAAAAGTATGATTTTTGAAAAATTAAATGTAATAATCTAAAATTAAATTATAAAATTATAATTAAAAATAGTATCAACTATTTGTGGATAAAAGATAATTTATATATTTGATACAGAGAATTGACTCGACCTTTTATTAGTGTCATCATTTTAAATAATGACCTAAGTTTATTAAGGGATAACTTAGACCTAATAACAACACTTATCCTTCATGAACCTTGTTATATTAAGTTTTAACTATAACCGAAATCAGTTAAGTACATTTTTACATCTCACTAGATACCTCCTTCATCAAGCACTGTATTACTAAGCTTTCGTTATTTTCTTGGACAGAGTTTCCAAACACTGACAATGATGGTTGGGCACATTACTAAATACTGACCTTTAAAAGTGAAAGGTAAAATGAATTAAAACATGTGAAAGAAGTAAGGAATTATACTAGAAACAACGTAGGAATAAGACATAAAGTGATTTGGACATCCTACCATGCGCACATCACACAAATGTTATAAACTTTTGGCCTAGAGTATCATTACGAAAGAACTAAAGACAGCTTTGGTGTTGCCTTAAATATAACAAAAACCATGTGCCGTGAGTGTCAAAGCCAAATATTGTGAGGTGATATGTCGGTAGCAGTAGATACTAACCAAACAGTAAACACCCACTTAAGATAATAACCCACAAATATATGGGAATTTATGTACAAATTACGCCGTTAACTATCATTATCTCAACAAATATATTCATCATGGAAATTAATGCATGGAGATTGAAAGATGATACCAAAGGAAATACACTTTCCTCATTGGAATAGTCTAATAACAGCAAAAGTAGAGTTTTACCATGCCTTAACAGGGCAGTTTTTTACACAGAAGAAAATAGGTGTATTTAAAGGTCAAATGGTGATAGCTAGCTAGCTCATGAATCAAGCAATTAAATTCCTACTTTAAGGCCCTACAAGTTTGTAATCATATTGCTAACGTTCGATGCAAAGACTAGATGTCTAGAAGATTAGGAATTGGGGCTTTATACTCTAGGAGCTACGATTCAGCTCCTGCAGTAGAAGGGGGGTATGGTGCTGGAGTTGGTCATTGGAGGAGGAAAATGAGGGTGGAGGTATGCCATGTTTGGAAAATGAAGTTGACTACTATCCGCAGCTGATGGTATTGTGGCTGATGAAGGGAATCCTGATGATGCTGCAGCAGAGAAATTAGGTGGAATCAAAGTTGACCCGTTATTATAAGGACTTTGGAGTTGCCATGCCCAATTTGGAACGGGACCACCAGCTTCCATCGTATTCTCTAGTGCTCTTTCCTGTAAATACAAACCAAATTCAATAATCGTATTCATTATTCAATAAAATACTATAAGTAGGCACCTAAGCAAAGTTAGTTAGTATGGAAACAAGTATATATGAAAATTACCTTACACATGGGAAAGTAATTGGTACCATTCCAAAATGAAGGTTGATGCTCAGAAGCTATGGAGAAGCCATAAGGTGGCTGAGTATTGATTGATCTGGACCCAGAGTCCTCAAACTATCCGAGCAAAATTAAAATATAAGAGGTAGATTATTATGTATGCGGAGAGAATTAATACATATAGAAGAATTGAATTTAGCACAGGGATAAAAAAACACTTTTAAACCTTACCATAGCACTCTTATCAACAGGCATATCATCCCAACTACGCTGAACTTGTAAACCACTTCCATGTTGGTGCATGTTCATCATTGGAACATCAGAGTTAGCAGGAGGGGCTATACCCAAGTTCAGATCAAGATTCTGCTTGCTATCTGAATAAAGGGCAATATCTATGAGTATTTTAATACTTTACTGAATACATTACCATTGATAATTAAGTCACTCTACATATTATAAAGCCAAAAAAAAAATTAAAAGACAACCTTCATTATCACACTGGGAAACTAACTCTCTTTCGTAAGAGCTGGCCTCAAAATTTGTAACTGCTTCTCTTCCATTGCATTTTATAGCAGCCTTATCATAAGCTCTGGAATGAATAGAGCAAGACAATATAACAACATGCGTAAAAGAAAATAGGACTGAAAGAAATTCAAAAAGTTCAACTATGCATTTCATTTTAGATATTGTGATATATGATTGGTAAATTAAAACCTTGCTGCGTCTAGCTCACTATCGAATAGACCAAGATATATATACCTACAAACCCAAACCAACGTAATTAAAAAACTGAATAATGACTTATAGTTAAATTAAAAATCACAAATCAAACATTTTAGACTCAGCTATTATATATTACTCAGTTTGAACTAAAAGAATTTTCTCACTTCTTCCCAAGAAACTGTCCCATGCGAGCTTCCCATCGCCCACATTTATGCAGAGTAACTCCCCTGTATTTGGAGCTTCCCCTCGAGAAACCAGTGCTCTGTCTACGCAGAATATGCACAAACTCTTCCTTGGTAAAGTTACTCATCTGCACAACAATAAAATCAAAGTTCATGCTGCAGTTATAACTCACATTCAAGTTTTAAATAAGATCACCATTCAACACAACAACAAATGCTCACAAACCTGCTTTATATCTTCATCGTAATCGCTCACATTGAAATTAATATCAGCATCAACACCACGAAACTTGATCGCAGCTCGATCATAAGCTCTGAAATCAATTCATAAAAACCATATCACATTTCAAGTAAACAATTCAAAAAATTAAAAAATCAAAAAAATTCATATACATGAAAATCACCTTGCTGCAGCATGCGCGGTGTCAAATCCACCTGAAAAGAAAAAGAAGCAAGAACGATCAAGAAAACAAAATAAAACGAAAATCATCTCAATTTCAAATCAACGATGTTGCTTTCTCACCTAAGTAAACTTGTTTTCCACAATCCCTAGAGAGAAAAAACAACAAAAAGAGAATGATTCAAAAACAACACTATCATGTAAAAGTAAAAGTGAAAAAACTGAACCAAGTAAACTACAAAGAAAGAGAATAATCGATATCAAAATGCTAACCAAATATGCGATTCCCATCTTCCCGTTCTCCGGTAGAAAGTAACGCCGCGATACTGCGAACTCCGCGACCTCGGTCCACGGCGACTCTTCTTCACCTGCTGTGGCCGTGGAGCAACAACCATCTGCTCCGGCACGCCACCGTGATGATCCGACGAGAAACTCATCCAGTTTCTACCATCCGACGGCGAGATTCCCGATTCATTAGCAGGAAAAAGCTGAATTGTCCGCACACCAGCCTCTCCGGCGCCAGAATGTTGAAGCTCACCGGAGATGGTATCGTTGTTGTTGAGTATTGCGAAGTTGTAAGCGTAGGCTTCGCCGTACGAGCATGAATCTTCAGTGTCGGCGGCGTTGACGACGGAGGAATCAAAGCTGCCGGAGCTTTCCATTTGCGCGGCGGAGAGTGGAAGAGTGTGGTTGTTGAAACCGGAATCAGCGTTGAGATTGAGATCCAACATTGTGAGATATGAGTTTGTTACGTTTCAGTTATTTAAGTTTGGAGGGAAAAAAAATGAAGCGAGTTTTTAGTTAGTTAGAATGAGAGAGAGGATCCAAAGGAAATTTTCACTTTCATTGTTCTTACTTCTTTACTTTTAGCATGAATGTTGCATCACCAATGTGAATATGAATGCGAACTAAGCTTAAATTCTTTTTCTTATTCCACCTTTTAAAGTGGAATTCGAATTTACACGTAAATATGATCAATCTGATGTCTTTACATAAATATCAACTGAGTAGATGAATTAACGAGATTTTTCTTTACTTTTACCTTATAAAAAAATAATACAATGGATTAATTCTATTTTATTTTCACACTTTTGAGGTTGTATTTATGGGTAGCTGAAGAAGGGTCAGGGCCTACAAGGAACAAAAATACTTAACTTAAACTGTTAATTAACTTGCATAAATAAGATGTTAAGTGTACGGTGTACTATATTTTTTGGGTTACATAAAGGGGAATGTATAATGGTGGCTACTAAGGTAGCAAAAGTAACAGTGTTATTTAATGTTAATGCACTAGGTGTTAATTTAATTAATGAGGATTGTGAACGGGAATGAGATGAGACGAAACTATGTTTTTTTGAGTGACAGATTGGGCTATACATATGATGGTTGTTTGAATACTCTACTTTGTGGTTACAATGGCATTTTGTCAGTATGTAGCCTCCTTTGTTCCTTGGGACACTCCTTTTGTCCATGGTTTCTTGCTTGACCATTCTTGATGTGTGAGAAAAGGAGAAATATATAGTAATATTATTAGATAGATATTTTAATAAAGTGTTTTAGGATATCATTGCTTTTTTATAATGTATGGATTTCTTCATAAAAAATGCTTTAATTACATGAAAAGGTTATCACATTATTGGTATTTATATTAAATTACATTAATAAATATCATGTCTATTATTTTTAATGTATGTTTTTACTTTCTCTTTTTGTTGTTAGATAGATATCGGATGATGGATAGCTCTATTTCAAAATTTGAAATTACAAGGTTCAATGGGACGAGCAATTTTATAGTTTGGCAAATAAAAGATTAAGAATTTGTTAGTCAAAGTAATAAAGATTTTAGAATAGTTATTTTATTTAATGAAACGTTAAATGTGATTTAATTGTGAGTCACCATTAAATATTAAGATATTATTCTAAAAGTATATGTAGTTAAGCCTTATTGTTAAATAAGACAATTGTAATGTGTATAGACTATTTTATGAATAGATTGATGATATATATATATATATATATATATATATATATATATATATATATATATATATATATATATATATATATATATATATATATATATATATATATATATATATATATATATAAATATTATAATAAATATTATAATAAATATTTTATATTGGATTGGCGCATCATGATTGTTCCGCTTTGAAACCAAAAATAGAGGGGAATGTAGAAGTTGCGGTGGAGTAGAGCTTCTGATGCAGCAGAGAGGGTGTGTACCTACAACGTTATCACTCTGACGCTCAACTTAGTATATGAGAGAGTAGAGAGTATTCAAATTATGTTTAAAACTTGTTACCTGATTTGGCACCATTCCCTATATATAGAGGAGAGAAATGACAATCTCGCTATCTTTCAGGCGTGAAATACGGAGGACCGCTGGATGTGCATGGGGTGTAAATCTCTTGTAGCAAGGTATAGGATAGTCCCAGGATAAGGAGAAGATTTTAGAAACATAATCGCGTAGTCGGTTAAGAGGCTTTGATCAGGAACGAGCTATCTCAAAGTGATCGGTCCAAGATGAATATGGTCGGCATATAACAGTTGTCGGCAAGCCCTTGTCCTCAAGTAGCAAGGTGAGGGCTTGGAGAATTTCACCATCGGTGACCAATCACCCTTACTTTGTGTTTTCACTATTTAGAACGCCAAAAGTCTTTTCGAGGGTGTCATTATTAGCATTCTTAGGAACTGAAACACTTGAGTGTTACATGCAAAAGATACAATTTTTTATAAGACGCATTTCTTTTCATATTGCCAAAACATAAGTCTAGGAAGAACTATAGTCGTTTTCACTTGATTTTTTGTTTTCTCCTTCTTCTTGAGTGGTTATCTTTTTTTCTCTTAACATTTTGTCTTCTTGTATTCGAGAAAGTTAACACAATATTGTAAAAAAAAACATAGAAGAATGTAAAAGGATACCAAAAGAACTCAACATCTTCATGTGAAGGTGTTTACCGTGAAATTTGGTAAACAATCGCTAGTCTTTCAAAACGAATATAATTTTGGTTACTCATAGAATCGACTAGATTGATCCTAGGACATGTGTTTGAGTTTTGATGTTATAATGTTTCTGGATATTTACTCTTTGTCGAAAAGATAATTACAACAAAAGTAAAGGTATAACAAAAAGTTGAAAATAAGGATAAAAAAGGACTTTAAAATAGAAACTATAATGTAAATGTACTTCGACTTAAACTAAAATGAAACATAAAAGACTTAATTCAAAATATAAATGAATTTGAATTTAAAATTGGTGTTTCATACGTACATTCTCAGTAACTCTTTTCTCTAACGCTTGGTATTTCTAGTTTATTTGAGTGATTTGTACAAAAGTGAACACACTAAAACCCTAACACAAAAGTCTTAATATATATTAATTCGACCATAATGGTCTTTCTCTACAAGAGTACCATGTTCTATATCTGCATGTCCTTCTAATCTTCAGGCTTTCACACGTCCTTTCGGATAAGATCAAACCATTTGAATTCAAATTTCTCTTCAATTCGAAGCGCCAAACCAACAATGTGACTTGTCGAACATTCAAATTTGAAACTTGAAATTTCTTAAGTCCCGTGTATTTCACAACAATAAGACTTTCGCCACCATTTAATATAATCAAACTATCCATACTCTTGGTCAGTCAAAAGCTTTATGAAATATCTTCATATTCCTTTAAAACTAGCTTTCTTTCGACATTCTTCATTCTTCCTTAATATTTTGGGTCGTCAAAATTCTAGCTAACAAATTGCCCCTAAAAACTGTTTCATTTCAAAATACTTAAATAAATGGATGCAAAAGTTACTTCATTATGACCATTATTGTTGTGACGTCATGGTCATGATGACCATCTTTCCAAACGTCTTATCGAGACGTGTGCAATTCAGTTTTCATCATTGCTACACTAAAATAGGTTTAAATTATGGCTTTTCCCAAAAATAACCATCTTGTCAACTTATCAGCCAACAACATGTGTCCCACTTATTTTTCATTGAGAAAAATGAAAATGAATTGTTTTCCACTTTCATTATAAATAATCTTCTTTTTCAAAAACACTTTTATGCTCTCAAACTTCTTAGAAAAACTTGCGATTTTCTTCAATTTTCTTCCTTCAAAATATTGTGCATCTTCAAACCTCTTCATCAATGGTGCCTTCCAAGAAAAGCAACAAATCTACTAAGGACGTGAAGAACACCAAAGATGTTGCTGCTATTCCTGTTGCTCATGTACAAAAAACCCATTTTGTCTGGAAATCAAGAGTTTGTACAAACGCCTACTCTTTAAGCAGAACAACATGCTATCTACGAATCCCAGGTAATCATCCATTTCACCCTTGCTGATAAAACTTTAGGATATAAGGGTCCTCTAGTTAATGTTGGTGATTTAGAGAAAACTAAAGAGTTGTTCCCAACTTATCACGTCACCAAACCCATAGCTAGCAAGGCTAGTTCCCCAAAACCGTAGATGAAATGTTGATAAAAACCCTAAGGAATCAACTGTAGAAATTTCTTAGGAAGAATCCCCTTCAGAACTTGGAAACGCAGAAAAACCTTTCCATTTGAACTATATGATTGATACTTTTAGGCCTTTTAGATCGTGCCCAGTGAAAGATAGCAATCAATATCTTGTTTGGTTACATAAAGTCGAACAAAAAAAATCCCATGTCTGGAAATAAATGGGTATTTTTGACTTAATCCAACTGTCGAAAGTTTGTCCAAGTTATTGCCAACACATGTTGATGGCATCTTTGTACTTCTGAGGTGGTACTTATAATACCTTTCACCTTTCCATGTGGAATGGTTACCCCCACCTTATTCAACGTTACTGCCATTATCGAACTTCGACCCAATTGGGAAACTTTCGATCCTTTTGAGCAAGCTGAAAACACCATTGATTTCAAAGTCGAACACACTAGTTTCACTAAATACATTGACTACTACCATACTGAAAGAGATGGCGTATCATATGTAGAAGACATAGCCTTCCTAGCTTTATGGTTGTCTCGATGCATATTCTGTAGCAAATCTTTACAAGTAGCTAGGAGATTTTTAACTCTAGAGAATTAACTTCACTCTGGTCGAAACATATGCCTTAGTGAATTCATATTAGCTCGATTATATGAATTCCTTGGGGAAGCCACTGCAAACCTGAAGGGTTATGAAGCAAGTACTAATTTACTACTTGCTGGCCTATATTGACTTCTTCAATTGTGGCTTAATGCCACATTTGAACCTTCACTCTCTACCTTTGGAAAAGTAGATGAAACAGACCCAAAAATTCAGAATCGAACTATTAAAGGAACTAGGTTGGTTCTATTGACTCCCAATGATGATGGAAAAAACATAGAGGAGTGTTTCACAAGATATTTTATAATTTTTGCTAGATGTCATAACTTTACTCCTTTGATGGATCCCTTTGATCAAAGGGCTCATGGTCCTGAATGGCTTAAAAGATCTCTTTCTGATATTTTGCCAATTCAAGAGGCAGAAACCTTGGCTATCTAGAAAGCCTTTTTACTTCCTAGGTTAATTTCCATAAGACTTATGCCCATCATTAGCCACATCGTCTTACTTGTTTATCAACCCAATTTTGTCTCTCGATAATTTGGACTTTTCCAGCTTATTCATGAACCATTTTTCGAAAGAAAAAACATTGTTTGCTTTCGAGGAATGCATTTCTCTGCTTCTAAATGAGAAGAACGTATGGA